GAAGTCCACCAACTGCGCTTGGCCAGCGTGGTTGACTATGGCCTAATCACCCCTAACTTAGGGTAGGCTCCGAGCCCCTCGGTGGGGACGTATAGTGAGCTAATGATGATGATGATTTTGGGATATGCCCGAAACGTCTATTGGATCAAAGCATTGTTTAAATAAATTCATTGAAAAAATTACGTTAAATATATCATTTTATATCTTCATATTCTTTTTTTAAAAATTTAATATAATCATAATTAATTTATAACAATTGTATTAATGTTTAAAGTTGTTTGTTTGTTTAAAAAAAAAAACAATTATCGTTATGAAATTTCAGCTTGAAACTTTAAATGAACACAATTCACGCCAATTGGATTAAAACATGTTATTCTATATCTCTCTTGTGACTAACTTTAAATTTAGGTTAACAAATTTTAATATCGTTTGTTCAAATAATATTTTAAATTGTTCTAATATAAATTATTTTGAAGTATTTAAAACTTTTTCCTTCGAATGGAGAAGGCGTACGTTAATTTTGTTTAAATACCTACCAAAGTTTTCTAAATTTTCTATGAAAGTTTACTAAAATTCCCTTCAAAGCAATTGCCAACAAAAAAGACAAAATTTGCATTTCACTATTTTTATTAAGTCTTTTGAATTTTAAGTTCTAAAACATAATTACACACTTAATCGATTTAAAGTCTGCACTAAGGTGCTGCTTAAGGGGCCATTAATGCGAATGTTCGGATGGATGGATTTTTGTAACAAGCTATCACTATCACGGCTACATGGATCTCGCTGAAATTTGTCATACATGTTTTTTTTTCTTTTTTGTTAGAAAACATTAGTAGATTTCTTGTAAATTTACTAATATTTCTTTTACCATTCCAACTAAGCTCTATGCTTGCGCTAGGATGTGGTGTACGACAATAGTCGAATGGCGGGATTCGATCCCCGACCTCGTGATCAGAAATCCGTACCCTTTTGAACTGGAGAATACATAATACAGTTAGTAGAAAAATATATTAGAAGTCCTATATGTTATTCGTGATAAAATGTAAAAACTTACATAATACTGGCAGCTATGAATGTTAATATTTTTATATTATACTTTTAAAATCGTGCAATGTAACTGAGAAAATTTCTTCTAAATAATATTCAATTTTGAATTCACTTCCAGTTCGACCCACTTTGTGAATATTACGTAAGTAACCGATTGGAATTGCCAGCTACAACTTGAGCGCTAACTCATTTCGCGCCGTGTTGAACTTAATCGATGTATATTTAATTGTTTTAAATAGAATAAAAAGGCAAATAACCTGAAATAATTAAAAAAAATACAGGTTCTAATTGATGAAATAGCGACATCTATAAGCTGCATTTTAAAACAAGGATTTTATTATAATTTTTTGAATGTAACACTTTCTTATCTTACTAATATTATAAATGCACAAGTTTAGATGGATGGATGGATGTTTGAAGCTCCATGACAGCTCATCGGATCTCTATGAAATTTGCATATATGTAGAACATAGTCTGGCAGAACACATAGGCTACTAATTAAGTATTTTTTTATTTAAGGTTACTCTCGAAAACATCGAATATCTGTAACCTTTCCAACTAAGGACATGTTCTAGATAACATGTGAACTATTCCTTTAAAAACTTTACAGTTAATCTCCAGTTGCTGTACTGTAGTTATAAATTGTAGTAGAAATCTTGTAACATTCAGAGTTGAAACTTTATTAGTTTCTCTGAAACTTTTTAATGGAAAACATATATTTTTCGGTTCTGTTCTGTTCTGTTCTGTTTTGTTTTATTTTTTATTTATTTTATTCAATAGAAAATATGACATATAAAGTAAACTAGTAACCTTTGGTTTATGAATCCAAAATCTCCATTTAAAACATACTGCTATATTTGTGCTGATTTAGGGTTCTGAAACTCACGTTAAATTAAGGGGTGCGGAAGGTTATATAGACAATAAAAATTGACGTAATTACGTTTGAGTACAGATTAACTAAAAAGTACCTTTTCATATTCTTTTTATGGCCTTTACGTTGTCTGGGTTCTCGCTTTTATTTTCCACGTATATGGCCGACCAAAATAGACTGACATGAAGCTAATATTAGAATTTATTTATTAATGAATTATTTTACATAATTTAAACTAATTTAGTATTAGTTAGTATACTTTTTAAAACATGATTTTTACAGCATCAATGTTTCGTCGCAACAAATTAAAAAGCTGCTATTATATAGCATTGGTAGCTTTAAAATTATTGTTGCTATTGAGAGAAAATTAATAGTCTAATTTTATAGCAAGAAGTATAATTTCTCAAGTCTCAAGATTGCGTTTCATTTATCAATGTCTTTAGCAAGGCTTGCTAAAGCCGCTGTTGATGGCAACTAAAGTTATAATGTGTTATTATGCAAGGTATTAACGTTTAATTTATAATTAAAGCTGGCAGCAACCTAGTAAGAAAATTAGTTTAGCTATTCAAAGGGGGAACGCTGCCAATATCTTCGGAACCTTCCCTAAAGGGACTTTTGATAAAACATTTTAGTTAATTATTAAATAAATATTTAATTTTTTTTTATATATAATAATTTTTGTTAACCTTTAGTAGCCTATTTCTAGACAGAAATCTTATATATAGATTGATAAGGTACTTAAGGTAGGAGGTGATGCAACCTGCACATATCTGAGAAGAAATTTAAAGATATGTGTGAAGTCAACCAACCCGCAGTAGGCTAGCGTAGTTGACTATAGCCTAATCACCCTTAACTTAGGGTAGGCTCGGAGCCCCTCGGTGGGGACGTATAGTGAGCTGATGATGAAGGTACTTAGAATTGTTATTGGTTACTTAGACTGTCCCTAAAGAGTAGTACGTCTTTCTAAATCTTAGTTTAGTTCCTTTGGCAACTTTTAAAGGGTTTAGATTAGTCTCTTGGGTGACTAGTAAAGGACTCTGAGTGAAATTAGAAAGGTACCCCTAACTCATATTATTTAATGTTAGTTCTAAAAATGGATACACGCAACACTAAGGGAGTAAAGTATTCATTTAGTAATTGCCGTCATTTATTTATTCTGGGCCTTCGGCAAAGAGATAAATTGTAGGCAATTTTATTATGATCCCTCCTGAAATTGGGATTACAAATGTGATATAGTATAATTCCATGTTATAAAATATGAACAATTATGCCTTACAACCTTTACATAAATATGTACAATGTACAAGTGTTCAGAATGTACAATTTAAGATCGGCAATCTATGTTCAAAAATATGTTCGTATTAAAATACAAATATTTTTTTTTTAGTTTACCCGGAACGTATGTATCTTACTAATATAAATGTGAATGTTTAGATGGATGGATGTTTGTTTGAAGGTATTTTCAGAACGGATGAACGGATCTCGATGAAATTTGGCATATATCTAGGACATAGGAAGAACACATAGGCAACTAATTATGTTTTTTTGATGACGCGCGGACGGAGTCGCTGGCAACGGCTAGTATTTTTTTATACGGCTAGTATTTTTTTTTTATATCATAAGGTGGCAAACGAGCGATCGGCAACCTGAAATCGCTGAAATAGCAAAGTGACCGTTGCCCATAGATATACGCAATTATATATGCGTTGCCTATCTTTAATCGACGGAGAGGATGCACAGTAAGAAAATATTTCCCTTTCCATGCATCCTCTCATCCGGCAAGTCCACTTCCCATCCTTATGAAAAAAAGGATGGGAAGGGAAAGAGGACTAAATTAGGCCTCCGGGATGCACATTCATCAGATGAACCACTTCACGCCTGTCTCCTGTGTGGTCGTGGTGTTTCACCGTGCCGGGCCAATTCGTGCGAAGGTGTTAAAGCGGGCTCTACCACTGTTAAAGTACAATACACTGTTAAAGTATAATATATGTATTACTTAGAAAGTATTTTTGTTAATATCTCGGAGGTAACATCTCAATCTACTGGGACCACTCACTTGATGAGTTTCAAAGTTTGTTTTGTAACTTTCAATGCGAGAGGTTCATTCGCTATGAAGACGCGAGGTAAATTTTGTATGCGATACACGTTCAAATTCGTGTCTGGAATAAGGGAATTTGTGATACAAACACGTATGTAGCAATACATTTACATTCAATGTATTTAACTTTATAAATATTTACATCTTCATTCTTTTAGAATTTTTGGCATTGAATTTTCATTAGGGAATTTGACGGCCCTTGCATTACTTGATTAGATCAGATATTTACTGTTTACTGATGAAATCCTTCGTGACATCGTAAAATAAATAGCATAGTTTATCAAAATTGCATAGTATTTAAGATAAATCATAAAACTATAAATTATTCTTAGTAAATACTTATTTATATTAGTCTGAGCATTACGTCTAAGCTTTCGCAATATTAAGTTTTACGTATTTATATTTTAGCCATCCGTGGCTTAAAGTTATCGTTAATATTTAATATTGTAATAGTAAATAACTGTTTTTTTATGTTCAAACAACCAGGTCATTACTATAAATATCTAATGAGGATTGGTTGGTTATTCGAACGGAAAAAGGGGTGGTGTTAACAAAAATAAGACTTGAATTTAACAGTGGTAGAGCCCGCTGTAATATCTTCACAAGAATCGGCACGGCTCACCCGGTGAAAAACCACGACCACACAGAAGGCAGTCGTGAAGTGGAAGCAATTCCGCGTTTCGTCTGATGAGTGTGCGTCCCGGAGGCCAAAATTAGTCCACTTTCCCTTCCCAACCTTTTTCTTATAAGGAAAGGATGGGATGTGTAAGTGGACTTTCCGGATGAGAGGATGCAAGGGAAGGGAAAATATTTTCTTTCTGTGCATCCTCCGAAAGGTAGGCAACGCATTTGCAATTGCGTATGTCCATGGGAAACAGTCAATTCGCTATTTCAGCGATTTCAGATGGCCGCTCGCTCGTTTGATATAAAAAATATCATGAAATTGGATTGTTTTCTTATGTTAGGATAAAAAGTCATACATACATTGGTTTTCACTATAAAAAGAAGTAAGTGATTACATTATTTTTTGGCATTTATATTAATAGCTTTACCGATTATAAGGTTAACCGCAAATTGTCTTCATTTTAAAATCCAATTAGATATTGCCTTATGGACTTGTCATTAATTAAACTTATTTGAAAAACATAATTTATACACTTTAAAGAACTAAAACCATAACAAAACTCAATAAATAATAACACTTTTACACAAACACTGCATTCGCAAAATTATACGCAATTTATCCGAGAAACCTCGTGTATATCACAGATAAAACAAAAGGCCGGGTCTCCAGCACGCTATCAAAATATAACGCGGGAAAATAAACCACACTAAACACAACCTTTCCGCACGGCGTTGCGAGCTATACTGAATTCTACTCATCTTTGTTGCTACAGCCTAGAACTAGGATTCATACAAATGTAGGTTAGGTTATACGGGTTCAATAGATTGGACAAAGGTTGTATTTCCTATTATAATTCGAACCTTTTTGTGATTGATTCCATTTCAAAATCTTAGATGATTTTTTCCATAATTTTGGTACAAAACTTTTACATCTATGTGACGATTATTCTTATTAAAATGGGATAGTAAAGGTGACATTATTTGCTGTATGCAATGACAGATTGGTTTATTGTGACAGAATAACCGTAGGTTTCTGAGTCCAAAATTCCCGTTTAAAACATTTTGTTTTTTCTGTTTTGTCAAAGATAAAAGATGGTAAGTTTTGTACAGGTATGTGCTCAGCAACCCACGGTAAATCTGATATAAATTAGTTTTGTTTTATAACGAATAGGTTGACATAATTAGGAATAATATTATTTTATAAGATCAGTTAAATATAACATCTAATATCCGAGGGTTGTCCTGCCTCGAGCGGGTAGGTTTTGGTGTGTCAGATGGCAATCGGCACCGCACTAATAAATCCAAACTTCGCCAAATCTTCTGCTTGTAATATAGGTTCTGTTATAATGTAGGTTACAGAATATAGAAACGAGGATTAGGATAGCTGACCCCACCAATTTGTGGGATGCAAGCTAGTCAAAATGAGGAGAGAGAGAGAGAGAGAGAGTCAAATATAACATCTAGATAGTTGGTAAAATGTTAAAAGAAAATATCTTACTGCAGTTTCTAGTCATTTCATTTATAAACATAAAATATTTACAAAAAAGACAATTGAATTCCGAAGCTTATTTTTAAGAAAACTGTTCTCTTCTAGTTTTAAGCTTTTAATTACACTTTCAGGAAAGTATATAACATAAAGAGACTCCTAACAAAGTTAAGCAAATGACTTACTTCGTAATCACGTCGAGCTTAGAGACTTTAGGCAACTCCCTTGTTTTAAGTTGTGCTATAAAATTAATACTATCTCAAATATTTTCTAAAAAGGTTATTCGTTAGCTTTAATGAATAAAAGGGTCTTGTCAGAAGGATGGCCAACGTCCTATAAGGGTTCAGGTTTTTCCTTTCGAGGTATGGAACCCTAAAAATAACACTTTCGTGTGAAATAACTAGGTTATAATTTTTATTTAATTATTAAATTTTATTTATTATTTCGCTCCATTGCATGTCTTCATGAAAGGCATTGTTTTCAAGATTGCGTTATATTATAAGTAAACTAATGTGATATGGATGAAATATCAAAGTGACCGCTGCCCATAGATATCAACAAGATGAAAGGTTGCAGATGACTTGCATATCTTAAAAAGACGGAGGAAAAGATAAAAACAAATTAATTACCCACCAATTAACTTTCCTTTCTCATCTTTTGCTTGTATTTATGATATTCCGATTCAAAAAAATACAGCATTGCAGTAATATGATCCTATATCATTTAACCATGAAACATTAAGCGTTTCGGGTGAGCAATCAAGATTCATGTCCTCCCCCACATTTTTCAGCGTTTATATTAATGCAATATAAGTGATCATGTCATCCTACTCATTTTCTTTGAAAAAAAAAACAGAGATAGCTATATGTTTCTCAACTAGTGATTCAATAGTGGGAACTCACGGATTCGACTTCGTCAGAGCAAAATTAAAAATAAAGTAGCCTATAATACGCCCGCGTGTATTCTTTCCCGAGATTACTCGGAACTAACTTGTCCTTGAGGACAGACATACAGACAAACGAACAAAAATTGCTTATACATCATGTGCAGGAAAAAAAATATTTTGATATTACATACAGACACTCCAATTTTATTAATATGTATACATGAAGTCTGAAAAACAGGTCCGATGTTTGCATTTCTATGTTAAAAAGATGTAACCTTCGACGTAGCTCGAGCTAAGCCCGAGAATAACTTAATTGTGATTAAATTGTTTGACCTTAAAAGTGTCCAAACCCGAACGTGCCTATTGTCAACTAAAGAAGCAATTAAAAAACAATTTGAATCTTTCTTGTTTAAAAAAATCACGCCTTCGAAATAGATACGGTAATTAATATTTAATTGAAACTCGAAACTTGATATTTGAATGACGTTAACTTAAGAACTGTAATATGCTATTTTTCATTTAAAATACTCGTATTTTCTTACTCTGTCATTCGCATAGAAAAAAAAGGAGATAACCGTTTATTTTATACATGTTTTTAACACTGGAAACTTAAAACAAAACACAATAACATACAAAATGCAGTGCATAAATCTGTAGAGGCCGCTACGATTTTCGTAGCATTCGTAGGCATTACGTAGAACTTTCACTATTATATTACTAAAGCTTTTATTTCAAATGTGTTATATTTCATTTTGATAATCTTTGCTCATAATAAAAGACACTATTAAGTACTTAATACTGTTTTTATGAAAAATGCAATAAATAAAGTTTAAGATGGGTTCTTAAGACGAAAATCTCCATTTAAAATATATTGCTATCTCTGATTTGTCTCTGAATGACAAAGATGTCAATACGTTTTAACGACTTTACAGTTAATGTTTACCCGTTAAGTTAACTTTAACAAAGAGAACTAGAAGGAACATATTCTAAGAACAAATGTACATATAAGCAGTTCAAAGTTAAAAGAATGGGTCATTGTATCACACGTATATATCTTTAAATTCTGTTATCCAAGATTTATTTTCAATACCTTAACAGATAATTGCTTAATAGCCTACAGAAACAAAATTTAAAAGTTATCAACTTACAAATATTAGCTATATCATGAAAAACACCGAGCATATCCATGGCAATTGTCTTATCTTCAAAACAACACAACACTTTTGATATGTATTAAAAACATAAATTAATACAAGTAACAAAAACAACAATAAAATTAACAAAAATGCATTTATTGTACACAACTTGCTAACACGATTGTTGTTTTATCACTGATGATAATGACCTTCATACTAAGAATGACCACAATTGTAGATTTAATTCAATGAGGACGAATTAGATCATAACTGCTTACACTGACTTAACTTAGGGCATTTATTAAATGTAAACTAAGGGTCTTACTGTTAAACTCAGAGACCTTTATACACTACGGGAGTCTCTTAGTTTAGGTTTCTCATACATCTTAATTAACAGCTTTGATTGCAATTGTTAATCGTATAACTTACTAATATTATAAACGCAAAAGTTTCGATGTTTGTTAGAAGGTATCTCTGGAACGGCTTAACAGATCTTGGTGAGATTTGACATAGTAGTTTTAGACATTATTAAATTTGGCGCGAATGACGTGCTTTCGTTACAAAGTCTTGTGTCAGAATGAATAGTGAGGGGACAAACGTCGACATTTTAGTAAGGCTAGTGTTGAGTCAATACACTAGCTCATTTCCGGTTTTTCTTCCTAACAGTAGTAGTCTGGAAGAACATATAGACTACTCATATAGTTTTTTTTTTAAATTTCGCGCGGACGGAGTTGCGAGCTCCAGCTAGTCGTTTATAGGATTGTTGTAAAGTCATTGTGCTTAATGTTTGATGGAGAATATGTTACAATTTATATTTTATTATTAAATGATATCAAACGATGTCTTTTAAAATGTACTTCGTCTGCCATAGACTATGATTGAAATAATTAAAGGTAATTTATTTCTTGAACTTCTGACTAGATGACATAATGTCGACATAATGGTATAATATATTGATTTGACATTGGTGGGTTCAAGTTCGTTCGTTAATAACCTGTTTAATGTGACACAGTTTAGTTTTGATTTTTTAAATGCTATTTAAGTTATACTTGTACTTGAAACCAAATTAACACAGATTAAAAATGTTTTACATTTTAATTTAAATAGGATCTTAAGATAACTGTTTATTACGTTTAATTAAATTTCACGAATTTGTCATATTCAGTTGAGAAAAAACTAATAAAAATAATTGTAATTAAGAAGAATTGTTCTTTATTACACAATTCATTTAATAATTTCTTCTGAATATATAGATTCTTATTATTCTGCCATCTTCATCAAGGTTTTAGGATTTAGAAAAGGCTTGTAAGGCGCAAATAGGAATGTTACAGGCGACACTAGATGGCGCTGTTTGACATTTGTTTGGAGCTCCAATAGATGGTGCTATAGGGATAAAATGCATTTATAAAATTTAAGAAAATCTAATTTATCGTATCTGATATAATCGTAATTCATGTTTGAAAATTCACTTGAATATTAAAAAAAATATATTTTTTAAACTATATAAGAGACATCGCGCCAAATGTAGTCGTAGTCTGCATATCCGTCTGGTTGACATATGCTTTAATTACTATATTTTTTCTTATATGTCCCGCTGGGAGACGCCTTTAATCATAATGGAGATGTAATGTTAGTTTAAAATAATATCGTACAACGGGCACTCTATTCTGCTAACATATTCATCTCACTCTCATGAACTGCGCGTCGTTTATCCGCAGTCTATGCGCGAAAGCCGTCCACGTACATATCTCAATTTCATTTATCGAACACACGGTGTTTACCTGACATCATCTCGTGGACACCGCGACGTATGACTTGCAGATACTTAAATTCTAGACTCGCCTTTCTTTATTCGATGACGTGGTGAATGCGCTGGCGTGCTATGTTCGGAGCTGTGATCCGCGTACTCAGTTCCGCTGCTGTCGGGCCCCGGCGCTAATGAGAACGTCGTTCCCGCAGGACACCGCTCGCGACTGCGACTCTGTTGCCAACGACTCTGGAGAACGAGAACCATAGATTTTTATGCCGCCAGAATAACTTACTAATATTATAAATGCGAATGTTTGGATGGATGTTCGTTTGAAGATATCTACAGAACGGCTGCATGGATCTCGCTGAAATTTGGCATAAATGTAGAACATAGTTTGGAAGAACACATAGGCTAGTAATATTTTTTTTTAATTCCACGCGGACGTCGCGGCAACATCTTCTTACAAATTTGATTGTTTAATTTTATTTCTAAATAAAATCGTCACAAAATCATTCCATAATCGGTAATTCTATTTCATTTGGATTGAAATTTATCTAAACATGACTTTTTTTAGTCAAAGCATACTTTCGGAACCTGTGTTTTTTTCTACCGAAAACGTTTATATTATTACGTTATTTTAGTTTTTCAATAACACCTGCATAAATAGGATTATTTCCCACTGCGCCACTCGTATTAAGTTACTATTATTGCACGATATAGCATTCTAACTAACAACTGTAATTTATATTTTATCGAACTCTAACAGCTGGAACAAATGACTGTCGCAATTTGCACATGTTACGTAAATATAATTCGATATTAACACGTTTGTACAACTAATGAAAATACAACAGTACTATATTTTATTGTAATGAATTGTGGATTTTAATACTTTAGCAACATGTTTGTGCAGTAAATATAAAGAGATTATAAGATAAAAC